CCCTGCAGGGTTTGAAATACCCTCCGCCGGAGTTGCGCGAGAGAAAATCCTCAAATGATTTCTCTCGCCCAGGGTGAGGCGGGCTGGAGTGTCAGACTCTTACCAACTAAAACGCCCCCGTTTCTTCTCCTTTTTTTGGCTGATGTCCCGATAACGATGTTCTTCCGAAAACAATTGGTTTAGCAAGTAATCATATTTTTTTAAGTAATAGTTCGGCAAACGAGCAGTCTTATTACCTGATGGTAAGCAACCAGCGCCACCCATGGACAACCACAACGCAGAAGTTACGAGTGCGTTGCTGACCTTTTCGGAAGATTAGGGTTTTGGAGAATTAGGGATTGGGGAGGGATCGGGGGAGGGTAAGAATTGGGCCTCCGGTAACCTCACTCACACGGCAAAACACTACGCCGTGGTTGTTTCACGCCGGTTTTCTGTGAGGCCGTGGTATCATTCCGGTCGAGCAGAAGCACGGCTCTCCCACACTTAAAAAATGACTCAAATGTCGGTGGATGAAGTTGTGTTGACGGATAATTTTCCGAGACTACAAGTACATAACTTTCGGTACTATACACTTTAGTTGAAAATTTATTTGTACATCCATGTTTATGTTACAACTAGTAACAGTTTGCATACGTAATCAGTCTTTTATGTATGAACATGTTAGACTAGCGATGCTAACATGCATTTGTCTGTGTAAATAAAATCATTTAGAAATACCTAATAAATAAATAGATTTTTTAATAGATTCGCAATGGATTTGTGTGCAATTATTATAATTTAATCATACACACTGTTTTTTTTATTATTAGAGTAATAATTAAGTTATCTTCGTTTTACAAAATGGGCTGCCTTTTGCGCTGTAGCGTACTTATTATTTTATCCGTTATTTTATTTTGTTGTTTGCATATTTATTATCTTGTTTAGTTATGTTATTTCTATTACGTTACCTATACATTCTAAAACGCGCTTTTTTTAAATAATAGGTACCTACATTTTTTTCAATTATTGTTTCCTTTTTATTATACAAATATGAAACACACAAACACACAAGTTTCAATTTACGAAACATTAATTTGTACGCTGTTCCTTGTAAAGTTGTAAGTACAAACCATAAAGCAGTTATGATCCATTTTACTATGAAGTAGTGTTCAGTTTATGAAACATTAACTACCCTTCGTATAATATCGTCGAGTAGGTACATATGTATGGGAATTTTTATCCGTTTGTCTTATTAAGATAAATGATAGATCAAAGCGAGTCATCAAAAAAATAAAATTCGAATTCATTGTGTTTTCTCCAAGGTGTAATTAATCTATATTAAAACGGGCTACCAAAGATTCTAGTCTACCTGTTTCCTATTTTCCTAAATGAAGTCTATGGCATTTCCATTTCGGGTGTAAGCGAGCGAGAATCTCCGAGCAGGAGAAGGAAAAGGCTGGTTTTAGCCTAGTTAGAGTAAGAGTCTGACACTTCTTCTCCACCCAGCCAGGGCTAGAGATAAAAAGATGAGAGATAAAAAAATAAAAGAGAGAAGAGATAAAAAAATGTTTCCACAAAAATTTACAGTTTGATGTCAGGTTATAAGTCTCCTTTACATAAATAGTATATCTACCGTACCGCAGAGAGATTACTGTATCGCAATTTACAATGGTCCAGTTTCTCAAACGGGACTGTTACCCAGTATCTACTGTGAATGCTGTCAAGCGCAATTATGTACAGGGGCCCTGGGATAGGAAGAAACGGGGTGGTGTTTTAGTAAGTAGAAGTCTGGACTTTCCTCTCGTCGCACCCAGAGCAAAGGAAGCCTTCCAGGAATTCCAGGAATTCCCTTTTCAAAAAAACCTTTCTGTGAACAACAACTCCTTAATATCCCTTGCTTCCAACAAAAGTGTAGATATATGACAATAATATGCCATTTTACCCTTTGAAAGTTTTCGTAATAAATGCTCATATTTCTTCCTAAACGCCACTTTACCTTGTAGCGTATCATGTTTTAACATAAAAACAAAAGAAACGATATAGAGATCAAAAAAGTAGAACAATTTGAATAACACTTTCTCGAAAGGGATAGAGGAAACAACGAAATGAAAAATGTCTATTGATTTATATTTTATTTTTATTAAACGAGTAGTAAGGTGTTTACCTAAATTTGACTAAAAACCCGTAAAAATAAACCTATGATTTCCGTATTGCTATAATTTGGCCAATGTGTGATTACAGTCTATATTTTTTTAAACTGGGAAATTGCTCCATATCCAACACCGAACTAAATGAATAATGTTGGTTTACTGAAAAAAGTATTAAGGTCGTGGTGGCCCGGAGGCTAAAGCGCCTGCTTATCATGCATGTGGGTTCGAAACCTGGCAAGTACCAATGTGTTTTTTTCCGAGTCATATGTACTTTCTATGATTATTTTGACGCCACTGACATACGATGAAGGTAAACATCGTGAACTGGACTTTAAATTTCTAATTACAAGTTTGAAATCGCCAACCCGAATTGAGCAAGCGCGGTGATTAATGCTCAAACCTTCTCCGTGTGAGTAGAGGCTTTTTCTCAGCAGTGGGCACATAAAGGCTGATGATGATGACGACTGAAAAAAAGAAGTCCACACAATTTAATTTTTAACCAGTTTAATTTGAATTCCTTCCTGAAGACACGCGTTTAAAGTGGGAATGCAATATAATCTGGCTGTCTTAACATTTTCCACTTAGTTGGAAAGAGAAGATCTTTACTGCAATCTCTGTCCTCGTGTGAAGAGATTGATGACGTGAGGCCGTGGTTCTCAATCTTTGCTGCATCGTTACGTCATTAGATATGTGTTTGAAATAAGTATCAAAATAACATCCAGAGCTTATTTTTTTTTTTGGTATACAGATGCCATTTTAACAATTTAAAAGCCAATCGGGTGTTAATATGCAAGCAAGGTGTAGTCAAATTATCTTTCAGTGATCGTCAATTGCAAGGCAAATCTATTATAATCATTATTTCACGTCAGTTGTTTATGAAGTCGTAGTTTCAAAATTGTACGAGTCATTTAACTCGTGCCATGCATATGGCTCTCCCACGTTTAATTAATACAACTATGAAAAATAATAAAATAAAATTAGTAGATATTCATTTGGAAAATAGTAGTACTTATTGATATTTCTGCAAAATGTAATACCCCAGCCATTAAAGTCATCGCAACGTCAAGCTTTAAACTTTGAGAAACCTTGACTGGGTATAATCGATGGATAGTTTTAAAGTAACTTGAAGTGGTTTAGTGATTGATGGAGGAATGCCAAGGCCCATATCGATTGTTGTCGTTATAGCTGCGGTGTAGGCTTCCTTATATAGGTACCTACGTTGACGTCGGAAATTAGCAAACCGACGTAGCTTGATTCAAATTGCTGCCCTTCCACAATATCCCCGCTGAGCCCAGGTTTGAACCGGATAGGGGCGCCCTCAGCGATCGGTCTGGTTAAGTAAACAGCCTTAGTGTGCTGAATGCTGAACCACGAGTGGTCTGACTGACCTGACTAAACGTTGACTGCACGGTAGGCGCGGTGGCTGGGCAACTGGCTGCCGTGCAACGTGTCGCGGGTTCGATTCCCGCATGGAACAACTCTTTGTGTGATCCACAAATTGTTGTTCCGGGTCTGGGTGTCATGTGTATGTGATATTGTATGTTTGTAACCGCACCCACGAGACAGGAGAAAATCCAAGAGTGGGGCAAAAAATAATAATTCGTTTTTCTAAAAAAAAAAAGATTTTCTTGGAGTTTCTTTCCACTCTTGGATTTTCTTCTGTGTCGTGGGTGAGTTTAAAAACATACAATTTCACATGCACATCACATCCAGACTCGGAACAACAGTCTGTGGATTACACAGAGTTGTTCCGTGCGGGAAATAAACCCGCGACACGTTGCGCGCCAGCCAGTTTCCCAGCCACCGCGCCTACCGTGCAGTCGTGCAGTATTGCAATAAAATTTTTAATAAATTCACAGTAAAATGTATTGATTTGTTACAGGAGAACCAGTGCATGCGTATAAAGATCCTTGGTGACTGCTACTACTGTGTGTCTGGCCTGCCAGTTTCCAGACCCAACCACGCGTACAACTGCGTCAATATGGGCTTGCAGATGATTGATGCGATACGGTAAGATCTTGTTTATCTTCTTTTGCCTTTGTCATCTTCTAAAGGTGCCTAGTATTTAAAATCTTAAAGCTACTCTCGCGCGGTTTCACCCGCTGCTCGGCTCCATTTTGTCGTAGCGTGATGTTTTATAACCTATAGCACTCAGGAACATTGTAGCTATCTATCAATGAAAGAATTTTGGAAATCCGACCAGCGGTTCCATGATTACCCCCTACATACAAACTTACAAACATACCAACTTACAAATTTTACCTGTAAAGTACCTCTCATTATAAAAGAATCAAGTCTTCGAAATAGAGTTATCTTTTTTTTTTGAGGGGGACAAATCACCAAATTTCTTATCCCGCTCAGGGTAAGGCGAGAGGGGGTGTTAAACTTTTACTGACTAAAAATCACCTTGCTTCTTCTTCGGCTCCAGGCCGCGGTTAATTATTGCCGCTGGCATCCACGACCCCGGGAATAGACCACTCATGGATCAGCTAAAACATTTGAACAATTTAACAATATGTAGCGAAATGGATTGTTCTATGCGCGCTACGGGCGCTACGCGGATTTTTTACGTTCATTTATTTTGGCAAGCCAAGCTTAATACAATTTAAATATCATTATGTATCGTATGTATGTATGTACGTATATAATTATGGTATTTTCAATAAAATATATAAAAAAACATTTTTTTTAATTATAATTAACCAACAATATGTAATATGACAATATGTAATATTGTTGTCAGTGTCGACAAAGCTACATTCTTTATTTACTAAAACTAGGAAGGTTATTCATACATTGGAAACAAACTAAAAATTAATCTCAACTCATTTATTCAGATTCGTGAGAGAAGCAACAGGGTTCAACGTGGACATGCGCATAGGCATACACACTGGCAATGTGTTGTGTGGCGTGCTCGGGCTTCGCAAGTGGCAGTTCGATGTCTGGAGCGATGACGTCACGCTGGCCAACCACATGGAATCTGGCGGTATTGCTGGGTAAGTATGTCTGGAATATTTCCTCATGAAATGATATTAGAATTAACTTAAATTAGTACTCAATATGCTCAGAGTTTTGTTATTATCATTACTTTGAAAAATCTAGGAATATAAACGCTAATAAGAAGTACCCAACTAGGCATGTAAACATTCCTTCTGACAGAGCTATGGTTCTACCTAAAATCCATCCATCAAAACTCTAAGCTCCAAGGAGCAATATTTCTCTTGAAACTCCACCAGGTGAGCCCATTTTTTTTAAATATTGATTAACTTGAAATAGGTAACAGTATAAACCATAAAAATAGTGCTCCCCTTCTTTTCACACTCTGTATAAATACAGATCTCTCTCTGTATAATTCTGTGTAATTATTTCTAATAATATACAATTGGTTTCCTCGTTTGCTACCGTATGTCAAAAAATCGTCACTATAAATTGGTGATATTTTAAGAAAATATTCGAGTATATTGTTAGTTTTCAAGAAGACGAGATACGCTATTTAACGCAAAGGGAAACATGGCGATGTGGTAAATAGAATAGTTTGCGACTGCTGTCTGGTATCAAAACTTGAATATAGTTTTATATATTTAAGTATGGGAGAGCCAAGCTTCGGCAAGAATGGGTCGGCTCGACCGGAGTGATACCATGGCCTCACAGAATACCGGCGTGAAACAACCACAGCGTTGTGCTTCGCCGTGTGAGTGAGGTTACCGAAGGCCCAATACCTCCCCTTCCCCTATCCCTTCCCGATCCTTATATCCGCAACCCCCATTGCCGCCCCGATTGCTTACCATCATGTGACCAGACAGCTCGTTTGCCGACTTATACCATAAAAAAATATTAACTATCTTATTATATAATCAAACTCCCAATTTCCACAACAGTCCTTTGATATACGCTTTCAACATCCCAGCTTTAAAATACAACTGCATTTTCTAATTCAATTGTATGCCACAAACTACTTTTCAGTCCACTTTTTATGATCCACTGAATCCATTTAAGCTTTTACCGCGCTGCAAACAAAGCTAGACAGTTTCATAATAAAATGGCTGCACTGTGCAGTAATTACGCTTTCAGCGGTATATTTAAAGTTTTAATCAAATTATAGGAAGCGTATTTTCACATGGAATAAAATTTCTTTTCGGTCTTTAAAGGTTGCGATGCATGTTAATTCAGATACTAAAATGGAATTTAACTGTATGTTTCGAGTATTTAATGTTTAGTTAAACCTGAATTCTTTTCCCGAGAACTTTTCAAAATCATTATGAAGATTCTTATGTAGACTTAAAAAACGTCGCCCCACACTAAGATTTTCTCCCGTTTCGTTGGTGCGCTTACAAACATACAATTTTAAATACACACCACAGCAATTTGTGTGTGTAAATACACACCACCGCAATAAACAATTTGTGGATCACAACCAGTAGTTCTGTGTAGGAATCAAACCCACTACACGTTGCACGGAAGCCTAGCAACCGCGCCAACCATGCAGTCAAATCAAAAATCTGAAGATAATAGCTCAAAGCATGGCTCAAAGTTACCAATAACTTAGGAACAAAGATAAACAAACCATTCTTCAATCAAGAAATACTCCATTGAGTTGATTTAGCCTGACATTCAAAAAGGACACTAATCCAACTTATATCAAAGTCCAAACTGAAATGAAAGTTAAACAAGAGTGATTTAACATCTTTGTAGTAAAGTTTAAGTTGTATCAGTGTTGGAATAGGTCCAGTTCTATGTAACTTAAAAGTTTTGAGAGCCCTGCCTAAGTCCAAGATACATAATCATTTGGTGAACTAAACCTCTAGTTATAAAACTTCTTTGTAGCGACAATTTGCGATCATAAAATTCAATAGTCTTGATAGATTTGACGAGTCATTTAAAAATCCTAAGGATCTAAGCACTATATTTTTTTCATGTGTCTAAATGCATCCGGTATTCAGAAATATACGTTTTCATATACATATACATCACAAATCAAGATTGGAAAAAAACAATTTATGAAGCATACAAAGTAATGTTTTGTGCTAGAATCAAACCGGAGACACGTTGCACAGCAGCTGCAGTCAGAAATATTCTATCTTAACAATAATTCCTGTACTCCTTTCATCAACATCATCACAAGATTTTACATTTATTACGAGTATATTAGTAGACCTAATAGTAAGAAAGTACAATACATTTTTTTCTTTCAGTCGTGTGCATATAACGAAAGCAACTCTTCTCCAACTGGGAGGCAGATTCGACGTGGAGCCAGGAGATGGAGCTTCCAGAGAAGGATACTTGGCTGACCACAAAGTGGAGACGTACCTCATTGTACCACCGAAGGTAAGACACACAAATTCTTCCTACAAAATGAGTAATATTTTGGCAGTTTGAAAACCTCCTTCTGCGAAATCTATGGCCGCAGAATTACAAGCGTCTTTAATATAAGAGGGCAGATTGGCAGGTAAAAAAAATAATAGTTTGTCTCTAACGACACTCTTAAGAATAATAGAGTTGATGATAAAAGTATTTTACTTTACCCTGACTTTACTGCTTCACATCATCAGCCTGTAAGTGCCCACTACTGGACAAAGCCCCCCTACTTACACGGCGCTTGCTCAAGGCAGAATTTTGATTTAAAATTTATAATATTTAGAAACTATAAAGTCCAGGTTTCCTCACTATATTTTTCTTGTCGTTTGCCAATGATGTCTAAATACAATTAGAAAGTACAACATAATTATAAATAACAGAAAAAGTCACATCGGTACTTGGCAAGTTTCGAACTTACACCCATAGGTACAGGCATGAGTCTATATTCCCACAACTTTTACTGCTTAGTGTATGGTGTTATACGTAATATCGTGTCAAAATATTACCTTTTTTACCAATTTTTTATGCATATTCAGTAGGTCTAAGATTCGGCTATCTACTGGCTATTTTTCATTACCCGTATTAAGTGATAAGGGTTGCTTTCTCTTAACATATTTTTATTGTGAAATAATTCATTTATGTTTCAAAACATTTTCCGGGTCAGTTGCTATTATTGTATAAGTTATATGTTCCCGAAAAGCGATGAACGATATTTAATCTCAAAAACCTACCTACTTTTCAAGATCCGACACATCATCTACTGGAATATTTATCTTATAATAAATTGTATACCCAACTACAAACTAAGCACATTATTCGCCAGGTATTAACACAAATGAAATATAATTAATCTACATAATCTTACTTCACGAACACATTACTGAAAATGTCTTCAGCGTTCCTGAAGGGTCTTTGTTTAAGATGGATGGTGATAGAACTTGGCTGTATGGTCTAATGATATGATCATTGTTATGATATCTTTTTGAAAGAGATGATTAATTGGTTCTTTCAAAAATGATGACTGGTTTTTGGAACTATTGTATTTGGTTAAGTTTTGTAAATTAGGATAGAATAATTGCAAATTGAGTATTTACTTGGAACAGATATGTTATTAATACAGGTCTTCTTGAGGAAAAAACTCATGGAATGTCTCGGTAGGGCGGAGTGTCAGACTCTTACTGAATGAAACCGGCCTGAAGGCCTACCACGACGTGTTAAAGCATGAATCTTTCGGGTGAGAAAGAGAGATGGAGATATACACCTTTTATAGCTCCATCCCTCTTTTCTCTGGCCTCTGTTCTCCTTCTTCAAGCCGGGCCGTGACATGTCATAACTCTTGCACCTGCAACCACTGCACCAGTATTTTAAACTTCAGTTCGAATAAATTTATCATTGGGACCCAACTTTGGAACGTAAAAAAATCTAAAAACTAATAAATCTCAATAACGTAGTTTATGGGTTTCAATCTTGATACCTAAACCTCAATAAGACTATAATAGAGAAAAATGTGAAAGAGTAATATAATACCCTTTTAGATTCTCCTAAATCAATAGATTTACAATCACCAGAGAGAATTTATCCTAGTCAATGAAGATCTATAATAGTCTACCTTCTTGTTATATATTAAAGAGAAAGTGTGGGAGAGCCAAGCTTCGGCACGAATGGGTCGGCTCGACCGGAGTGATACCACGGCCTCACAGAATACCGGCGTGAAGCACTCGTAACTCCTTTGGTGTTGCGGGTGTCCATGGGCGGGGCCGATTGCTTACCATCAGGTAATCCGTCTGATCGTTTGCCGACTTATACCATAAATAAAAAAAAAGAAAATCTGCCTTGTGTATCTGGTTATCTGATATTTTCTTGCCTCAACAAAAATTGTTCAATTTGTTTGAGTGACGGAATGATTCGAGCTCAAGTATCGAATGAGATTTTCCTGTGTAAAACTCTGTGATTGTTTGCTCAAATAATATTTATTTTATCTTATTCACTGGTTTCGGGATGTTTATGTTTAATTTTGTGTTTTACTTAGTTAACAGAATTTATTTAAACCGTATTTTAATGGAGTATAATGACGTTTTTGGTGTTCAGTAGGTAACGTAATTTTATCTCTAGAAAACATACAACAGAAAATCGTTACATTATAGTAATAATCCCATAGTAATTTTTTTGCCATTTTAATTAAATTGCATTTTTTATTCAACGAACGCGTCGTTTCAATATTATATTACGCTTCTAAAAGTATTTCAAAAATCTTAGAGTACGCAGTTTTTCTACCTTCTGCAAAGTTACATGTATTTATAAGACGTAAAAATTTTTCACTCTGTGGCATCAATCGAATTTCAAGAAAAAGCCAAAAATAATCCCCTTGTGCAACATTTCCAAAAATGCAGTCAATAAAAAATTTAGTTTCGATAGACCGGTCACTATATCTCTCATCCTTTCAATTAAGGCACAAATTCATACTTCATCAAAACAGTTTGAAAAATGATTGGATCCAAAACGAGGTATTCATGGGCCGACTCAATCAAGCAAACGCAACTAGTCGCAGTTTCATTGAATTGCAAATCAGTTGCTTTCGGCTCAGTGGGCAAAATAAAATGAAGATGACCTTATTATGCTTGTATCGACAATAAATTGCTTTCGAAACTGCATCTCTAGTGGCAGTAATAAAAATATGAAATGTTAAAGGTAGATTTGACATCTTTTTCAAATTGTGTATTTATAGGGTCTAGAAGGAATTATGTTTTTCTTGATTGAAAATGTTAGTTGTACTTATTTCGATTTGATCTTTTAATTTACAACAACTTTTTACATGAAAGACCCCAAAAAATCTTTAATATGATATTTTAAATGTATTTCAATTCATTCAGAATACCACCTAATAGTAAGCAATCATCGCCGGCAATGGACATTCGCAACAACGAAGGACTTACGAGTGCGTTGTCGACCTTTTGGGAATTAGGGTTTTGATGATTTCGGGATTGGGGAAGGAAAAAATAGGAAGTATTAATTTGGAAATCTATATTATGTACCTATGTATTGTATATTATTATGTATACGTATAGTCTGTGCTATATATATGTATTTAAATAAAACATATTTATTGTATTGATATAATGTATATGTATATATTTCTATTTATATATGTATATGTATGAGAAATAATTTTGTAGCATGTGTTTTTTTTTCTTCCTTGTCTTTATCAACAAAGATGCACCTACCACTCCTATTTCTCCACCACCCAAAGGTAGACTGGCAGAGAACGCCTAAGGCATTAAGTCCGCCATTGTACGTTGTGCAAGAAGTGTAAAATAAATAAATAAATATAAAAATTAATAGCAAAATGTGTTGGTAAGCGCATAACTCAAGAACGCCTGGACCAAGTTTGTCAATTCTTATTTTGTTGTGTTTGTTATAGGCAGGAGAAGGTTGTTATGAAAGAAAATTTTAGAAAGAACGAGGGTTTAATCGGGATTTCGGTTTGATACCGGCGCGAAGCAGGGGCAAGCTGCTAGTATCTAAATAAATACTTGCAACAATTTCCCCCGATCAACAGTTTCAGATCGACTTACGCACAACAACTTTTGAAACAACCGATAGCAGTTGTTTTAGCAATCACAACTTAGCTCGTTTACGTAATAGGTCGAATATCGTGTGTGTAGTTCAATCATGCTTGGTGCGATGTCATTGGTGTCAAATATTGCCAATATCCGTGTATCAGAGATCGAATTGAGTAGATACTGAATGTGTTATAGTTTTATGTAGGTAGTATTTTTGTAACTGAATTGAGATCTGATGCTATTCTGATGTAGTTTTTGTTGTTTGACAACATGACGAAGTGATTTGATGTTTATTGTGAATTATTCGAGTATAAGGGATACTATCTACAACCTATTCAGATAAATTGAGTGCACTTTCGGCCTTTTGGGTATTAAAGTTTTGAAAATTTAGGGATTGGGGTGGGGAAGAATGATTGGGCCTCCTTTCCTTACACGGCGAAACGCAACGCTGCGATTGTTTCGCGCCGATTTTCTGTGAGGCCGTGATATCACTCCGGTCGAACCGAACCCTGGCTCTCCTACATTTATACATGTGTGTACATAAATAAATGTATAATAACAACAGCTATTAATAGCTGACACCGAACCTCGTGTTGTTTAGTAACTCCACTAGACCTTAGAAGTAATTCAATTTCTTAATAAAATATTTGTAGGTCTGATAAAGGTGCCGGCAGTGGATCCGTGTCTGTTTGAACTCAATCTATTCGCAAATACACCGTACGCAAACATACAAACAGATCCATGTGTTTGTCAGTCCCTTTGTAACATGGTCTGTTACTGAAAATATTTGAGGAGAAAAAAATATATGTTCGACAAAATCAAGATTGAAGTAAGGTTGAAGTACTTAGAGAGAAAATATTAATGTTAAAGCTACCATAATAATAGAGAATATATCGCCTTCCATTTTTCTCGTCATGATCAGGATGGGAGAAGTTATTGGATGATTTCCCCCGGCAGAAAATAAGGTTGAAAATTGTATCAACTTTTTCAATAAACTAAAATTATTCATTGGAATAAAGATGAGTCTTTTTTTATATGATAGTCGGCAAACGAGCTGTTGAATTACCTGATTGTAAGTAATCGGCGTCGCCCATATACCCGCAACAGCTGAGAAGTTACGAGGGCGTTACCGGCCTTTTAGGGATTAGGGATGGATAAGAATGGGGGTCTCCGGTAACCTCACTCACACAGCGAAACAGAACTCTGTGATTATTTCGAGCCGATTTTCTAGTCAGAATATATAAAAAAAAATTGAAATTAATATGAGTTTTTGTAAAAGAAAAAACAGAATTGAAAATCTCGAACCACAAAATCTTAGGAAGGAATGAAAATTTTAGATAACAAAACAAATTTGTTGGTATGTTGAAGTTCCCAATTTCAATAAACCAAATTGCTGTGTGAAACCAACTGAAAGATTTCGACAAATTTGTCTCCAAACTGTTTGTTCTGTCGACGTAATTGCTAGCCTAAGGCACGTGTTGGGGATTTATTATTGTTTTAACAAGTAATTACTTTAGCGCCTATATTTTTTTTTATCCCTAAAATTACTATTTTTATTCCCCTGTTTACCGTGAAACGTTTTATCTCTTGATAATAATTGAGAGGTATTATAATTTCGTCATTGTAAATAAGGTTTATTTTTAATTGAAATGTGTTTGTTTTTACGTAGTTTTTACAAACCAGATTTCAACCTACTTGTATAAGACTATATTAAATTACGATGATTTTGATGAAGGAGGCCATACGTGAAACGATTCGATTTTGCATTATACCTACAATATTTTATGAATAATTTTAAGATGGTTCTATATCTGTACAGTTTTAAGACTTCTCAACTATGCAACTATTTTTGAAGATTTTTAACTAACTGCAGAAAGTATAAGATCGTATTTTTTAATAAAAGAAATCGCGTTCTACGTCATTGTTTTATCCTATCTCGTGAGTTCGTTCACAAACGTACAATATCACATAAACATCACACCCAAACCTGGAATAAAGATTATGGATCACATAAAGCGTTGCACGGCTGCTGGTTTCTCAGTCATTGCGTTTACACAGACAATTAAGACAAAACATTTCTCAAATCAACAATAGTATATTTCATTACTAGTACGGAAGGGCTTCGGACAAATGTGTACCCGAGCCTTAGGCGAGGATTGACAGTCGGAACGAGTTGCAATGACGGTTCCGTACGCGTACCTACTGAACGACTATTTTTAATACAGTTGCGAAAAAATTAAGCAACATAATCGAAATCACTCATTTAGTAAAAAAAAAGAACTAATTTCACGAAAAGAAAATTTAGGAAAATGGCGACAAGTCTTTAGTACTTAGAACCTTAGTTCTTTAATACAATATTTCAAAATACGTTTCTAATTTGCTTGAAGCTAGAGACTATGTATACAGGAACGACAAACCAATAGTAATAACAGACTTAAGAAAAAATTCTACAAATATAGGATAATTGTGCAAATATATAAAATCGTTTTGCTGTCAGCGATCACTTGAGATGTCTCCTGAGATAATATTAAGCGGGGAACTTGAGTCACTAACCAAATTATTGGAAACGCCAGGCCTCGGGCACCCGAGGGTTATTCGTAATTATATAAGTACTTAGATACAATATGTGTATATGAAGGCCTACTTTAGAAAAGGTCTTGTGTTAAAGTGTTTTATGCAAACCAGCACACTGGATATCTGAGTAAGCGATCGGCCTCGGCCATAATTACCCGCAGTACCAGTGGAGTAACGATTGCGTTGCTAACCTTTCTGAGATTAAAGTTTCACCAATTGTTGTCACAGGTAATCTGTTAATAAAAATAAAACAATAATTATTAATAATTGCATTGTATTTTATCGTATGATTGAGGTTATCGGAATTCTAAACCTTCCCCGCTCAAGCCCAAAACCCTCAATTCTGGAATTTTGGTACCGTAGGCTTACCATCAGGTGAATAGGAACCTTGATTGCTATCCTATTACATAAAAACAATTATAACAATGTGCAGAAGAATGTTAAAGTGGGAATATCTTTATGAATCTTTAATTAAAGATATAAGAAGTATGGAATTATAATAACAAGACTAGTATAATAACAAAACCTTATAAATAATGTAAGAACAGAACCTTATAACTAAGTTTCTTTTAGTCAATTAAAGATAGCAACTGTAACGAAGTCAGTAGAAACTTAAATAGTTTTATCACCAACAGTTACTGCGAAGTTTCTCAGTAGCAGTCCCAACTGAGTTAGTCACTTAGCGTCTTGGAGTTAATTACTGGACCCTAGTTACAGTTTAAGTTCAAGTCTTAGTTGAACTGTCGTTTTGGTTGAAATTGATATGGGTATTTCGAAAGTATGCAGACGTATTAAGTTTTCTTGTGTGGCAGTTGGCGAGATGTCAATGTCTTTTAATAGAAAACAGAATCTAAATTGTGGTGAATGTAGCTTAGTTGAATACGACTTATCATAATTATTTTTAATTTATTTTTTATTATATACCTTATATTTGTAGGTAATACCATACCACAGCTTCACAGAAAACCGGCGTGAAACAACCTGAGTGTTGTGTTTTGCCGTGTGAGTGAGGTTACTGGAGGTCCAATCTTTCTCCTTCCCCAATCCCAAAATTCCCAAATCTAGAATCTCCAAAAGGTCGGCAACGCAGTCGTAACTCCTCTGTTGTTGCTGGTAATCCATCTGCTTGTTTCACAGTACTCCTATCACAAAAAGAAAAAACTAAATAGCAGACTGTTGAAATAAGATCTAGAAGCTTCCGCCGTATTTGTGTTAAATCTAAAAGTTGTCAGCAAATAGGGATTGCTACTCTAGATGAGATCACAACTTGGATTGAAGGATTACGTTTGATTGCAGTTCGTAATCTTTAAGGTCAATTCACACAGAGCAGCGACGCGACGTAAAAGGCCAGTGTAGTGGCCTTGCGTTGCATGAAATGTGTATCTTGTCAGTTAGAAAATAAAGTTACTTTTTGAGTCACTCTTTGGAAGTCGCCCCACGTCGTGCCTCGGTGGGAACTGGTCCTTAGTCGTATTTGTGTAGTTGACGGTTAGATTAATTTTATCTATCTTTCTTCAATTGTTTTTGCAAGAAATTATAGTTTTAAATAGAAAGACGGGAATAATAATATCTTTAAATGATGTGTCGTGGCGGCCCGGACGTTAAGGTTCCCGCTTCTCGAGGGTTCGAATGGCAAATACCAATGTGTAAAATTTCTTCTCCTTAAATAATATCTTCTGATTTATTTCGTTGCGGGATTCAAGACAGTCATTCGGGTCCCTGGGACGCGCCGGACTTCAGTGTTCCGGTGTTTTCATGGTTGTATCTACTGTAGATTCTGGCTTACAGGAGTTTTAGCGGTTTTGGGAGGATGCGGCGGCCTTGTCCCATTACAAAAAAAAAACTACCAATCTGACTTTTTCCGAGTTATATACTTTCTATATACTTCTATATACTTTTTGTGTTATTTAGATACCACTGACATTTGTAACTGTCAATGCGCCTTAAGCAAGTGTGGTGATTAATGCTCTAACCTTCACCGTATGAGAAGAGGCCTTTGCTCAGCAGTAATCACTCATAGGCTAGATGATGATGATGATTATCATTATCCAATAACTTTTCCCACCTTGGGTGGGGTGAGAGGTAGTGTGACTCTTACTAACTGAAAACCATTTCGTTCCCTCTCCTGCTCCGGGTAGGGGCCTCGGTATATTATGGCCATTGAACCTACAACCAAGAAAAGAGTATTTGCATACGTGGTTTTAAGTGCTTTCTTTAGCACTAAGTTTGGTTTAGCTCATAAACAGATATTTTTTCTATAATATAAATAAATAAAAACACTAAAAAATAAAATAAATAAACTAAAAATACGAAAAACATGTTTGTAGCAACCTCGTATTTATTCCCCGTCGTTTACGATGTCAATAACAATTTGTTAGAAGCTAAAGTCTGTCCGCTGTCAAGTTACAAGTTACCTCGGTTTGTCTCGGTTTGTCACATGTTTGGGATCTTGAATGCTTTCTCCGGAATACTAAGTTTTTCAATAACGACGACAAATTATTTTTCTCGGTTTCTTGAAGTTTTTTCCGTGGTTTGTGGAAGTTTGGTCACTTGAGTAGGTTAAGTGTTCAGAACTGGTGTATTTTGATTAGTTTTTGATGAACTCTAAAGGAAGAAGGAAGTTCTCAGTCTTATCATGTGTTCTCAGTCGTATCCTAGATTCGTATAAAAAAAACTTGCAAATATTTATATACCAAGAACTAAAACTGCTTCCAATATAGAAAATTACAAACGCATTGAACTCACAAAACCTTGCTTTTAATTACAGAAAGTGTCAGAAAATGGCCGTCTCTCCGTTTGCACAGTGGATCGGAAAGCAAGCATTGTATCTTCAATATACCAAGACATATCTCCCACGAAGCCCAGAGATAACATCAGCCCAGCACCATCACAAAACAGCTTTAATGAAATGGAAACCTTCCCCAGCAGAGTTCTAAGGACCGAGTCACTGAGGACTACTGGAGGTAAGTCTTCTTGCCCCACTCTAGACGTGAGATCATTTTTGATGATCCCTCTCACTCCCCTGATAAAAGGATCAGGCCTCCGGATTCCCTCTCTCACACGGCGAAACACAACGCTGTGGTTATTTCACGCCGGTTTCTTGTGAGGCCGTGGTATAAACATACTCCAGTCGCACCGACCCATGTGTGACGAAGTTTTGCTCAAATAACAACAGACTTATTTTTTATGTTCCAGACCTCAGCAGACGAGCTTCGGTGAAAGTGGTGGCTTTCGACAATAATCAGGCGACAAGTCCTGGTGAGGGACTCGGCAATGGCACCGTGGTTACTTCGCATAAGCCAAAGAGCCGGAGTGGATCTATTATTGGAGCTATCAGCCCTATTATGGGAACAGGTAAGAGTTGCTTATGTTTTTGAAAAGAAAAAAGATCTCTGTTCGTTACGTATCCTTGAGCTACCCACCCACCAGATGGTTAAATTAATTTATGGTACATTATCAACTATGAGGCAAATGGTTTGGCTGATAACTGATCTTCCATTCCGTTTCAAATTACAAAAAAAGCCTTAAAAGATCTATTGGAACTAAGGTCCTCGCTTCTGATCTATGACCTAGTGCATGACTGAAATAATATGCTAAAGAAGAGCTAAAGAAGAATGTAGTGATCACCATGTCTGTGGATACTTCCTTGAGATAAACTTAGTGTAGCCCTCCGGCTAGGTGATGACCTGATGATGATAGTTGGAGAAGCCTATATCCAGCAGTGGATGGAATCCGGCTGATGCTAGTGATGATGATAATGTATGAATGTATGCAATATAAAGTAATGATCCCAATATGTTACACAGAAAGTTCTAGTGAGCACAGTGAGCAACCGACCCCAACAGACACACTGACGCCCCTATTTCTTAGGATGATAAGTACTATGTCTACTGAATCGTTATGTTAGTGTCTCCAGTTTATTTGTGACCTTGTGTCTAACTATGCGAGAGTCCTATTCATACTTAGTGTAGTTCCTGAGTGAGAAAAAAATCGTTAATTTTGTCGTATTTATAATTCTTCTGTTTACTCTTCTGCATTCATTAATTGAATAGATATTTTATGGTTTAGTTCTAGGAACTAGATTTTCATTTTCTTTTGCCATTTTTTACCTTTATGTACCTTCAGATAAAGGTCCATTGAGCATGATTATTCAGTGATTACCCTGTTAATAATGTACCACGGCCTTACAGAATATTGGCGAGAAACAAAACTTATGATGTGTTACGCCTTGTGAGTAACCGGGTATCAATCTTTTCCGTACCATCCTCAATTCCCAAATGCCCTATTCTTAAACTGTCCATTGGCGGTCCGTCTGCTCGTTGGCCGACCTATCCTATAGATAGAAAGTTAGAACTTAGAGTTATTGACAACATGAGAGTGATGATGTGTGTTTTCGGAAACATGTAATTTTTCCATATATTCCTTCATTTTCTCCAAACATTCGCAATCATCACCATCAATGCTTATTTTTCATTGGGAACTTTTCCAGCGACGCCAGGTGTACCGACGCGATCTCGTCCATCCAGTAAGATGACCAAGTACGTGGAATGTTGGGGAGCTGACAAACCCTTTGCTAACATTACTGACTCCACGCTTGCCAAGAATATTGGAATATCTGTAAGTGAAACTAACCATGCTGGAACATGTCGTCTCAGTACATTACTCAGTACTTCATTTTCGCAATATAATAAATTGGTTTATAATATTGCACTTTTATCAATCAGTAGAATCAGTAGATTTTTACGATAAAAATAAATTATTTTAAATTTAAAAGTATAATCATACTATTCGTTGATGATGACTTTTTTTTTTTTTTTTTTTTTTTTTTTTTTTTTTTTTTTTTTTTTTTTTTTTTAAAATAAAAAACGTTGCCCCACATTAGGATTTTCTCCTGTGTCGTGGGTGCTGTTACAAACATACAATTTCACATACACAAGACACCCAGACCCGGAACAACAATTTGTGGATCACACAAAGAGTTGTTCCGTGCGGGAATCGAACCCGCGACACGTTGCACGGCAGCCAGTTGCCCAGCCACCGCACCAACCGTGCAGATGACGATGTAACAAAATCGTATTTTTCATTAAAAAAATGTTTTCGTAAGTTCTTGCAAGTTAATTATTATGCAAAAAATTTATGACGTCATAATGTTAAGATTTCATACAAAAAACATAAAATCATATTCTACTTTTCAATAAAAGATTAAATTTTACTAGTCTGAACCGCGGACTGAAAATACAATGTAACTATTACTTATTGTGGGGTTGCGGGGTAAGCGCAATGAGGCACCGCGACCTCGGCGAACAGGGGGGGTTTTAGTCAGTTAGAGTCTGACACTCCCTCCCTCCCGACCCTGGGCGGGAGAAGTCATTTGATGATTTTCCCCTAACAAAAAAAAACTATTACTAATTGTGTCTGAGTAATCAAGATTAAAGTATATTTACTATGATGGCTTTATTTAATTTTACTTATGTAAAGTCTTCTTTATTTATTTCCAGAGCCTGGCAATGATAGAACAGAACCTACTACCACAAAGGACAACTTGCTGTGATTGCAGGTAATCGTTTTTGGTCAAGTTAGTTTTTTAAATGGAATAATGTAAAGAAGTAGACAGATCACCTAATCACCTGGTGATGAGGGATCAGGCTAATCATGGACACCTGCAACACCAAAGGATAGACAGGCATATTGCCGGCCTTTTAAAAAGGAAACCTCATTTCTGGGCGGTTTGAAGGTCATCTCGGATCGGAAATTCCGCCCCTGAAGGATTCTCCCAAAGTTGTCCTATGCGAAGCATAAAATTTAGCGATAATTGCATAGTTGTTAACTACTAATCATCTACATTATGATGAGGATAACAGTTTATTTCAAAATGCTTGCCATTTGGATAGTTTTCGAAGATAAATTGATTAATATTTTCTTTTTTATCAATTTCAGTACTAATTCGGAAGGCATGAATCGTGTCACGTTATGGTTTAAGAGCAGTACACAAGAGCGTCAGTACCGCAACCAATCAGACGCGCAGTTCAAATACAACGTCGCATGCGCAGCTGCACTATTTGCTGTACTGGCGTTCATACAGCTATTAACCGTGCCTAAGTAAGTGCAATCATGTTAGTATGTTTGTTTAAAGGATCGTTATTATTTGGTAAGTGTATGTAAGTATGACAGTCGATTGCCATTTGGTTGCACGGTTGGCGCGGTGGATGGGGAACTATATGCCGCACAATGTGTCGAGGGTTTGATACCCGCACGGAACAACTCTTAGCCTGTGTTGTCAGTATTCCGGGTCTGCTGGGTATAATGTGAATGTAAAATGTAGGTCCGACACAGAAGAAAATCCGAGTTATGGACAAAGTTTAAAAAAGAATAGAAAATAAGAACAAGTACCATGATTGACAAAAGTGAAATTTAGTTTAACTGCTATAAAAAAACAATATTGAACTGCAATATAAAATGTCGCGGTGGCCCGGAGGTTAAGGAGCCTGCTTCTCATGCATGAGGGTGTGGATTCGAAACCTGGCCAGTCTATGATTATTTAGACACCACTGACAACCGTGAAGGTAAACATCGTGAGAAAAGCTGGGCTTATAATTTCTAATTATAAGTTTGAAATCGCCAACCCGCATTGAGCAAGCGTAGTGATGAATGCTCTTGCTCTTGCTCAGCAGTGGGCACTTAAAGACTGATGATAATGATGATGATGAAAAAAACAATATCCAGTTTTGATTGAACAATATTTGGAAATACTTGGTATAACTGACAAATGAATAATCACACTTTTATGTGAATAGAAGAAACAGAAACCAATGTATTAAGAATGTCCCATTCTAACTTTACTTCTTTATGAGCTTTGTATTTTCCTACTTAGGGCCTTTAAAAATCTTCTCTTTGTATTACAGAGGCGTAGTCCTATACGCGTCGTTTGGTCCCACCTTCTTCACGCTACTAGTCTTCGTGTACTTATCCTGGTATGATGGCAGAATGCTGACACGAGGGTTACGTCCGATATCCGATGTACCGGACGATTTGTACGCTGATAACTGTACGAAACCTGGTCAGGTGGGTTTTTTAGTGGTTAGTGTATTTATATTAGTTACTTCACTTCCATTGAGTCCTTATGTCCAGGACTTTTGAAAGGCTTACGAGGGGTCGAAGCCAACTCGCAGAGGCCCTTTGAACAACTTTAATATAAATAATTTTTGAGCAGAAAAAGATTTTGTCACAGCAATCCTAAATTTTCTACGGCTGGATTTTGGGGCTTTGTCTGTGATAAGGGCACATCAACATAGTGCGATGCACTCATAACGAATCTGGTCTTGCGGGTGTCATAGACACCTTCGATTGCTTGTCATCAGGTAACCCCACTGCTTGTAAAAGAATTGCACATAAAAATACCATAATATTATCGTTTTATACGTTCGACCTGCAAAATGCGGTTGACGTGTAAAATGCGTTACGTTATTGTGTTATGTATAGGTAAATATAGGTAACAAAATTAAAAATGTATCAGATAATTTTATCATACATTTTTCCGTCTATAAAGTATTAATAATATTTTTTTTTTGTTTTAGGTGGTCGCCAATAATCGGTTCATAAGACTAACGATGTTCGTCGTTTCTGTCCTTTTAATAGGCGCATGCGCAGTTATTAATTTGGTAAGATTTTTTTCTAAATAGCTATTTCCTTAATTCTTTTAGAAATTGATAGTATGTACCGAAAATAAAATAAAGATTACAACAATATATTATCAGATATACGTCAATAAAATTCATAAATTGTTTTTTTCCCTTGGTTAAGTAAAATTGCTTAACTTTCCAGTTCCAGTCGTTCGTGATAATAGACTACCCGATGTATCTCCGCAGTAACGCCTCCAACCTCACTGAGTACAATTTCACTGAAGAAGTCGGTATAAGTGGAATGCATATCTACAATGATGTCGATTCTGCACCTGTAAGTTCAATGTTATATAAAAACACAGTAAATAAAATAATAATATGTGTTAAACTTAAGCTATCTTTTGTCCACGAAGTCAGAGGTTTACTTTATTAAATTTTGACTATTTTTCGCATGTCTATAATTGCCCCTGCTGTGCAAAGGCCTTTTCTTACATGGATAAGGTTTGAGCATTAATCACCACGCATGCTCAAGGCTGATCGGTAATTCCAAGCCGTATGTGTCCTTCAGAGTGCTATTCGTTGGTCTTGCTATAACTCAAGAAAAGCTTAATTAATTTCGCTTTTAGTTTTAAAATTTTGGTGGATATTTAGGGCCAGTTTGAACCGTCAAAGAATCACTGACGGGACTCTATAGGGCTGATGTTACGCAATAAGGCACCGCAGCCTCTGGCTAGATCAGGAGAAGAAATGGGGGGTATTTAGTCAGTAAGAGCCTAATGTTAAAGGTATCATTTGATAATTTCCCCCTTACAAAAAGGGCAAGTTTGATAGGTCAGAAAATATTAGTTAATTTTGAGGTGTTTGAAATTTCAGCTAGTACCAAAGCGTTATTTTGCTTATCATAATTTCCTTAATAGTATTTTTTTCATATATTTTCAGAGCTATCTCTACAGTTCAGTGCTAACACTGGCGTCAATATCAGTGTTCCTCCGAGTGGGCTTCGTGTTGAAACTCGCTCTAATGTTACTGACTCTAGTCACTCACATCACGCTGTTTGCATCCGCTGAACTATTCTACGAGTATCAGAAAAAAGATTTGGAAAATGAGTGAGTTATTTTTATCAATGTATTTTATGGTGAACCAACAGTTAGAGTACGTATATTTTGACAAATAGATAAATATCTGTATACATACAACCACTTATAGATTTACAGTACCTAATACTTAGTGACAAAATATCATAGTCATCCAAAACTAATAATTATCAGCCAAGCCAAAAAATATTTACACATTAACATCAGTAGAGATTAAGAAATGATGAAAAAGAAAATGAAATTATATAAATCTTAAATGAATTCTCAAAAAAAGGTTAACTTGATCCTCCGGAAGCCTTTTCAAAATTTCCATCAAGTACATTAATATACATATAATAATATTTTCCTTCTTTGTTTTTTTTTCTATAATCTATAATTATCATTTTAATTGCAATGTAATAGTAAAATTTATCACAAAAACTGATCTGCTTCGAAACTAAGTCCTACCATCTTCTTTCTTCTAATACTCTATTTCATCTGCTCCAGGTTCACAATGCTAGCGTACGCCACCAAAGCTGGTATGGTCCTGGTATTCCTGGCTGCTCTCCTGCATATCCTGGACAGGCAGATAGAGTTCACGTCAAGAACTGACTTCCTATGGAAAGACAAACTGAAGTTCGAGCAGGAAGAGGTGGAAACTATGAGAGGGATTAATAAGGTGAGGAAGTGGTATATTCTATTCATCATCATTATCATCAGTCTATAAGTGCCCACTGCTGAATAAAGGCCTTTGGCTCACACGAATAAGTTTTGAGCATTAAGATACGTGCTTGCTCATAGCGCGTTGGTACCTAATTTAAAAAAAATATGCCAAACTTTAGAAATGTCAGGGGTGTCTAAATAGTCCTAGAGACTACTTATAAAGTAAACTTGATAAATGGCGAACATGGGCCCCTCATACATGAAAAGTTGGCGCTTCAACGTATGAGCCGACCGGGTGTTATTCGGATATTCTACTTAATTTTGAGGGAAATTGCTGGTGGTTGTTGTTGATATCTATTTTTTCTTTGACGTTTAAAATTGCGTGCAGTGGCCTATTTGAAATAAATGATTTGACTTTTGACTCTGGTCAAGGTGTCACAAATGCGACTGTTGAGACGTTGAAATCTGATTTATTTCTGGAGCCACGAAAACATTATTAGACTATTTTAACACTTATTTTCACTTATACTCCTGTAGACATTAATAGGCTCCAATTTAAATTAAAAATTCATAACTTTTAGAATTGGTGAAAAAGGGCAGTTTTTATGTCCCGTTATCCCCTTTAAAATTCAATGTACCTACCTAAATAACATTTTGAATACGTTGAAATTGTTTGTTCTTCCAGATTCTTCTAGAAAACATTCTCCCAGCTCACGTGGCGGAACATTTTCTAACATTCGTAGCATCAGAGGTCAGTATAAAAACATCTTTCAATAATATTCAAAAAAACCTTTTAAAATCTTTAAAATTTTCCCATTTTTGAGCAGGATTTTCCTATAATTTTTGTAACATATATTTCTCAGGCAGAGTTATACCACGAGCGGTATTCAACGATAGCTGTGATGTTCGCATCCATACCGAATTACAAGGAGTTCTATGATGAGAACGATGTCAATAAACAAGGGTTGGAATGCTTGAGGTTGCTCAATGAAATTATTTGCGATTTTGATAAGGTAAGGCAACTTTGAATGTAATGTTTAAATATAAATAAATAAAAAAAAAAAATCTTTTCTTTTTCTTTTTGTTCGAATGAATTTTTTATAATATATAATACTCGGTGAACCGCCCCGACTTCGCAGGGATGCCATGCTAATACTGAATACGGCAGTTTCCAATTGGTCAAATTCAATACTTTTGTCTAAACGTCAAAAACGATACTTTTCTATGAATTTTGTAAATTTATGAAAAACTGAGTTATGAACATTTTTGCGTTAAAATATCTGCAATTCAGTGTATCAAAATTCGTTACGTAGTTCTCAGAAAAGGCGACTTTGTCATAATAGTACATTGTAGTCATGTGAAAGTTCAATTAGTAGGTACTATGTAGTGATTCCAAGTAGAACCTTTCTATTGTTGTTCATGGTGCAAGTATGGACCTAGTTTTACATTCCACACTTAGGCAAGATTCATATCGTAATAATCTTAATTATTGCTGCTGTATATTGCGACTGTCGTGCTGCTACTCGAGTAGCAGCGCGTCAGTCGCCGCGTCGCGTGTCGCGAAATGTTGCTCATGAATATGGGCCTCTAGCATGGCTTGAAACTAGTCGAGTATCTCGTCAAATTATTACGCGAGTAAGCCGAAAACATAATTATTAATTTAGAATGTCTCACGAAACGTAATAATCTTCTCTGTAATAGTGAATAAATTGTGTATCAGGATTGACCCAGTGCAAGCCCGAGCGGCTGGCTATAGTTTCTTTTCTTTTAAATCAATTTGTTATTAATTAAAAACATTCCCTTTCAGCTATTATTGAAGCCTAAGTTTAGCTGTATAGAGAAAATTAAGACGATAGGTAGCACATACATGATTGCTTCTGGTTTGAGACCAGGAAAGGAAGAGCAGAATGTAAGTATCTTTAAATAAGTCCGATAATTTTAATGCAATAAAAACAATAAATAATTATGTTGACCAATCAATGATGTTGTGTATAATTGATAATTTAAACTTGCTAAATATTTAAAATCTGTTTTTTTATAACACTACATATTCCAAGTACTCATGATCCGGGCTCTTGCCATAAAAGTATAATAAATAAAATTAAATATATAAAAATATCAAAGTGGACAACACTACAAAGAACCACAGGTATTATTTACAATCAATTTTTTTGTTCTAATGACTGATAATCAAATCAAAATCAGTAATTTTTTGCGTAAATTTTCAGGATGTGACAAGTAAAGAGGAGCATACGGTAGCTATCCTGGTGGAGTTCGCGATAGCTCTCATGACGATACTCGACCAGATCAACAGGGAATCCTTCCAGAGATTCAAACTTAGGATAGGTAAGCATAATCTTTATTATAACACACGTACTCCTATTTTCGAAAGCCCTGAATCTCTTTCTACTTGTAAAGTAGGGATTTTGGCGGGGCTAAATAATCAAATGACTTGTTCCTCCCTGAGTGGATTCCTTCTCCTCCTCGGAAAAAAGGTAGTATTTCCACTGCTTATATGGTTACTAAAGGGATGATTACAATGTGAGTCTACAGTTCAATCAAATAAAATCAAGTTTTGTTAATGAATTTGCCGTGTTCCTCAATTTTTAAGAAAAGTATACTAGGTGGGTACTTGAGGAAACTGTACTATCTACGAATCCTAGGTATCGTAGGACTCCTTTTTATCTAGAACTAAACCAATAAAGTCCTCATAAATAATAAGTAAGGTACAATGTCCACCGCCGCCGACCAACCCTTTCTATTATGAGCATAATGAAGTCTTTTAAAACATGCACAACTTTATGCACTAACCTGGACACATACTCCATCCATCGGTTCAATTTTCAACTTTCAAGTCAATGAACACTTTACTTTCCAAGCCTTTGATCAACTTTACTGTCAGACCAACAAACTTTACTTAGTAAATACGCTGGAAGTGTGTAGATGGCGTTGAAAACAATTTTCCGTATAAAAGCTTTCCTTAAAATGCAGCCTGATAATACATCATTCATGAATTAAAATTTAAGTAAACCTTTTAAGTGCATACTCTTTTTTAGCTATTTATACCTTTTTACTCTTCTCCATGCCTATTAGTATTGATATTGTGTTAAGAAGAGCCATGCTTCGGCATAAATGTTTTGACAGGATTGATACCACTGCCCTACAGAAAACAGGTGTTAAACAACATGTCCGTTGTATTTTGCCGATTGAGCAAGGTTATTGGAGGCCCAATTCTTCCCATCCCCAATCCCGAAATCCTGATGCTGAAACTCACCAAAAATTCTGGCAGTGCACATCGAATTCCTTAGGTGGTGAGGACGTAGCATGTCCATGGCGACCTTGATTACCACCAGCCGTCTGCCTATTTGCCATCCTTATACTTATAAATTAATATTCCAGGTCTAAACCACGGCCCCGTGATAGCGGGCGTGGTAGGAGCTCAAAAACCTCAGTACGATATTTGGGGAAACACAGTTAATGTGGCATCCAGGATGGACTCCACTGGAATCATGGGCAGGATACAAGTCACTGAGGATACTGCCAAGTTAGTATTATTTTACTTCTTTTTGTTATTAAGTTTATGCCTATTGGTATTTTAAACTAGGTGACCTAAGTTATATTGGTTTTATATTTGCAATGGGTCTGTGTTTGGTCTCTCACCTGGTCGTAAGTGATGGTACAGCTTTCGATGAAACCCACTGGTCACATCCTTACGGAAACAAAGACCTTGGGGAAAAGGTCGAATGTATTACATGGATTGTGATTGATAGAAAACCGTTAATCTTCGGAAATGTAATATATTATATTTGTTTAGCGTGCTCGCGTTATGGTTCAATGTAGCAGACTTATGATATTGCTGTGAATTTTTCAAAAGGGTCTTGTTTACGAGTATGTATGCTCGTATAAGTGGATGTATAGGTGGTTATTTTCATTCATCTAAAAGCTATGGAAATTTCCATCGAAAAAGATTTATAGTGTGAAGTAATGACTATATAGACTAATTTTGATCCAATTATGTAGCTCAAAACTAAAAAAAGCCTAGTCAATAATAGTCCATAAACATAAACGACTAATAAACCTAGCTCAGGCAAATAAAATACATTGTTCATCTTGATTTTATTTTTTTCCAGGGTTTTAATGAATGCAGGTTATACCTGTGAATGTCGAGGCCCAACTTATGTGAAGGGCAAAGGCACTCTAATCACATACTTCGTGAAAACACCCAACGTCGGTGGGTAAGCAGTGTTGGAATGACCTGTGACCTTAATGACTCAGAGCATATTTGAAAACCAAGACACGTCTTTGAGGATAATATTATAGGTCAAAAAAGTATGACAGCGTTGAAGCAGGTATGATAGATCTTGAGCCCAAATGGGAAGTGAATCAGGGTCTAAAAGAGTGTACTGAAAAAATTTAACATCGATTTAAAGTAATTGCATCCGGCTAAAATAAATGTTAAATAATTAATAATTCGACGTTGAAATTAATAACAAATAAAAATGAAATTAAATGACATAGTAATAATATGCAAATTTAAGCAAAAGATAAATTGATAATTATTTTCAAATAGCAGTTTAGAAAAATGAAATTATTATTTTGTAAGTTCGATTTTAAAGGTCAATAAATTGAAAAACTTTAATTTATTTTAATGTACAGCTACCTTCTATGACATAATGAGGCAGTATTAGATACATGTGAACCCGATTTTGTCTACCAATATTTAATTTTATCTCTAGAATCAATTTTTAAGTAGTACCTAGGTCTACATTTTATAGTATTAGGCCTAAATCGATACTCATATGTAAAATATAAGTTTTAAAAAATGCAAATTTATACTCGTATAATTACGTATACACGATATTTATTTAAACATTGTAATTAAATGTACATTTTATTTTTAAATTCTCACACTTTTATTTGTTTCATCGCCGTAATACCGCTTTGCCACCTATTTATACATATGTCACCCGAAAATCTTATGAGGCACATGACACAATACGTAGCTTAAACAAATGATTCTAGAGTTCTATATACAAATTTATCTAACAGATAGTAGTGTCAAGCCAATATATTATTATATTTTATCTATAGGCATGATAGCTGCTGTAAAATTTAAATGCGCCTTACGTAATAAATTAGCAAAGTTGCCAGTTTGTGATTTAGTATTTGAAATTATGCAGTGTTGTATTTTTAGCTTACAATTTATAATTAAAAAGCTAACGTTGTTATGTTGTTTCGCTAGTTTAATTTTTAATTGTGTTATAAATTGCCAAAATGTTCTATAGCATCTAGTAGATATTAATGTAGGTATTAAAATGTAGATTTAAGATTATTTAACTGTAGAGATTTGTAAATACAATACATATTAATTTTAATTTAATTATTTTTATAAAGTGTGATAAATTAGATTAATAATTATTTTTTAATTAACATGACACAAATGCATGACTCCTAATAGTTTATAATTTGCATTTAATAAGAATATCATTATTATTTTATTTGTCATTAAACAATGTATTCATTTTGATAAATCTTTAGTCTTTATGGTGCTAAATAAAATATTGTAACACGATTTAAAAGAAATTAAAATGCATATCCAACTAATGGCACACATTAAAATTTTAGATACTTACGATTTTGTAAAAAGTACTTTCCTTTGTGTAATAAAACTTTTCCTTTTTGAGTAACTATTTTTATAACAACAATCATTTTTGACGGCCTCTGTAATTGTAATAGGATGTTAGAATTAAAACAAATTTAAATATATAAGAAAGAAAACATATTTTGTGCTTCACTCAAACAAGAATTTCATTAATCCATTTATGTGTAAATATAAAATTAATGTACATTTTTGTTATTTGCTCGAAGCTTTTCTTTATAATTTGCTTAGAGTTTTTTTTTTTTAAATATTAATAATGAAAAATAAGTAGAACATTACTGAAGTTACAGTGATCTGCCATTAAATAATTTCAATTTTATTTACATTATGAATATAATGAGTTATAATAACTTATTATTATATAAAAACAAAACAAGATCAGTACTACAAATTGTTGTCATGATAACACATTGACAGTATCTTCTATGTATTATGCAATTTTAAAGTAGGTATTTAATATTTATCTAGATTTCTAGCTTGTGAATGACCTATGATATAGTAGCTACGTCAAAACGGGTTGAATATAATTCGAGGGGCGAATAGAGACAGAAGAATTTTCTTAGTATCTTATCATCATCATCATCATCAGCCTGTTGTCGTCCACTGCTAGACATGGGCCTCCCCAATTGCACGCCACTGAGCTCGATGTTCAGCTCTTCTCATCCAACCACTGCCAGCCACCCTGCGGATGTCGTCAGTCCACCTAGATGGAGGGCGCCCTACACTACGTTTGCCTAGTATCCTAGTATCTGTTCACCACGAATAGATAGATACCTACTAGGAAAATTCGCCTACATCAATTCACCCCTTTCGCTTATCTTTCACCTCTCAAATTCTATTCATCCCTCTAGTTCTGTCTAGTTTCACATGGTAGATATTATGGAAATCGAGCCTAAAATGTTTGAATATCGTTTTATAAAGTAAATATTTATTAAATAAAACGTACCTAGTACCTAAGTATAAGAAATATGCAGAATTGTAAATTTATTTTTAGGTCTGAGATTTTATTTTGTAAAATTAAAATATAAGATTTTAAAATAAAAAAGTATCTACCGTTGGATCAATATTGTTTTTTATTCAAAAAATATTATATTACCATAAAAATTGTCTCATTAATTCACATCACCATTTAAGACGTGTGTCTTGCGCGGACTGGTATGACCGAATGAATTTGAATTTTGAATTTCGAACATGAATATAACGCGAGGTTAATTGGTAATTGCGGGTTGCGCTTGCGCCGGCCACCTACACACCGAGTTTGATTTATTTCGAGTGCAACGCCCAGGAATATAGAGTATTGCTTGTCTATATGTTTTAATAATGATACAGTCATGTGGTATATTCGCTTAATTGTAGAGCGATAAAAAATGGTGGATATTTTTCAAAGGGAACTTTCCTGTTTGGAATGTTTGAAAAGGCTGAAAGACTTGGTGAAAGTTGACCATGTTATTTATCGAGAGGTGTTCATATAAATCCAAAGAAATGCTAATCAAAATACTGTGTTGCAATTCAATATACACCTGGGAATATGATTAAAGCAATAAATATTGCGTCTGAATGTTTGTTATTAGTGTGCGACAAGTATTGATTTTTCAATTAATTCCTTTGGGCAAGTTGAAATTATCTTTGCATAGTAAATGTGCTTTTGAATGTGGGAGAAGCATACTTCCACGTGAAGGGGCCGGCTTCAGCGGGTATCAATACCAGAGCCTTACAGCGAACCAGCGTGAAACAAACATAGAATTATGTTTCGCCGTTTGAGTACTTACGGGGGGCCTCATCCATAATCCCCAGAAAGAGAAGGTTTGAGAATTAATCACCACGCTTGCACTAGACTGATAGGCTACTTTTAGACTGTAACAGATTTTTTCACGATGGTCATGATCATGATCAGCACAATGGTGTCTATATAAACTTAGAAAGTAGATATAACTCGGCACTAAAAACAAAAACACTTGCCAAGTTTCTGAAAAAAAATATCTAATTTTATCAACTACTAGCTACTCTCGCGCGGTTTCACCCGCTGTTCAGCTCCATTTAATCGTAGCGTGATGTTTTATAGCCTATAACACTCAGGAACATTGCAGCTATCTGTGAAAGTGAAAGAATTTTAGCAATCCGACCAGCAGCGGTTACAAATTTCAAAAATTTTACCTTTTTTAATATTAGTATAGATTAAAGGCCTTGAGATTCAGTTAATATTAAGATTATCCTTCCATTTATTAAAAGCTTTCTCTATCCGCCTATACCTCATAACTCACAAACGAGTCTACCCGTCAGAATGTAGATTAATCATAACAATTAAAAGTTTAACGTGAGAACGTTCACATTGAATTTAATCACAGGCTGTGGATACTAATTAGGCGGTCGTAATTATTGGTTCAACTTATGGAGAGATTTGATATACAAGTTGTTTTGGTAGTTTATTATTTAGATCCCGGACCGGGCTGTGGGTCAAGCGTTGGTATACCGCGGCATGACTCAGTGCAAGGATTGGAAAAGATTGATTTTAGTCTGTGTGTCTAGCGTTTGATATCCTATCACCTCATCCAGGGCTTTATTGAGGGAAGAATATGATCATATGATTTTGCCAACCTGGGTGCGGTGAAAGGTTTTGAAAGACTCTTGCTGACTGGAAACTACCCTGTTTCTTTTTTTCTTTTCCTGTTACGAGCCGGGGTTACCCCGGTTCATTATTTTACTTGCACTCGAAACCCTGGCTGACCTCAACAATCCGCATGCCACATGACAAAAAAAATTATATAAAATTATATAGTATAGTATAGTTGCATATTTCATACGGTTTTGGATGGTATTTTGACCCACATAATTGGTTTTGGAAAGTTATGTAGTGGCAAAGTATAATATATCGGATAAGGACCTGCCAGCAGCCTTCTCTGAGGAACTTGAACCTTTTGAACTGCTGAGGGATTTTGACAACCACTATTACGCACAGTAGGCAAATTAAATAATAGTGGACCATCAAGGATTTCTTCTAAACGCATGATTACAAATTCAAATAAAATCATAATATTATTCAAACGAAATTTTTAATCAATCACTTGCCATATCCGTGACCAATAACTACGAACATTGACGTTTATGAACCACTTCAAGGAAAACCAAGGTTCCAAATACCATGCAATGTGAAATAGCCTCAAGCAAGAGACCTCCGCAAAGCAAAACGAGGTGACCGGCCCGAAGGACCAAATGACATATTTCACGTCACAAAGGACCAAGGCTCATTCCAGAGCATTCTAAATGTTCCCACAGTAAAATGGAGATAACAATAGTAATATCTCATCTTGAGATAAGCCATGCGACAGAGTTCGCCGCCATTGGCCGGAAGTCGTAAGTTTAGCGACACAATACTCACTATAAAATATTACCAAGTACTTATTCGGTTAAGATAAATCGTCTCATATATTATTTAGCGTAATAATGGACAGAGATTATTTTTTACAATGTTTTTTTGGGCAGATGCGACAGTTCGGACGTTTAGGTAAAGTATGGTCATTAAAAAATGACGATTTCTTATGGGATTTGGTTAGCGAGTAGATTGATCATCTGGTGATGAGCAATTGAGTCGCCTATGGGGGTAACACGAAATTAATTTTAAATGCATAGCCGGCCTTTTGTATTTGGATTAGGGAATTAGGAAAACAACGGGAGCTTTTTGATTGGTCAACCTCAATCGTACCAAAATTTAGGAAAGAGCATCACAGTGCACATTAATTAATATCATAAAATATATCTTGACGTATTAAAAATGCATGTGGATTAACTAAGTTACATACGAATGGGCATGGGAATTGTTAAAAATATTACAAACGTTAAAATAAACCCTAAATACTAGGCCTGCATAGGGTTGAGTTTAATAGGTATATTGGATTTTACTTCTATGATGCTGTGGAAGAGTTCAAACCTTGTATGTTCGAATTAAGTAAGTCACACATTTAGGTGAGTTTATCCTAATGCTAGGTAACGTCATTTCCTGTCAATATCTTTATTAATATTTTAGACTAATTAAAAAACGAAAATCAGGCGAATTCAAATATCAATAATTACGTTTTGGTAACATCTTTTCGAATCCTCAGCAAAACCCATCTCGAATAGGCATAATAACACCATCTGTACTCTACTCACATACTCTTTGACCCTCACTGGGAGTCCTGGACAAAGAGATAGTGCATCTAAGCTCGCAGTAATCTGTGATTAATGTAGCGCCCCTACCGGCTACCAGTGTTGCTTATGACTTTATTATACACTGCCACTACACCGAGCTACCGTGACTTGCTAATTGGATTATATAGTTTACCGCTCCGAGCATAGAACTTTTAGAGGGAGAAATTACTTTAGTAAGTTTATTGATGTTTAATGAGATTTAGACTGAAGGGCCTTGAGAAGCTTTGAGGTAATAAGTTGCAAATGTTTTAACTGCTGTTAAAAATGGTTTCTTCTTATAAACTGTTGAGTTGGAGTTAGGTATTCTATTTTCTGATAAGACAGGCGTCGAATGGCTACCAGGTCAAGTAAGTGGCCACAAACATGATTGAATGGCAGAAATTTAAAATTTATTTTTAAGAAATAGCAACTTTAATTTAATAGTTCGTAAATCAGTCAATTTGATGCCTTTGTTGTTGCCTTTCTTCGACATGAAAGGGTCAGCTCATCTGAAGTGAAACCACGACCTCACAGAAAACGGCGTGAAACAAGCATACCGTTGAATTAAAAAACTTACCCCCAAAAGACCGGCAACGCACTCGTTACTCCTCTGGTGTTGCGGGTGTAAATGGGCGGCAGAAATTGCTTACCATCAGGTAATCCGTCTGTAATGTGCCGTCCTATCTCATAAAAAATCAGTTTCACCAATTTGTGGATAAAACGCATCTTTACTTTATTAGTTACTAACATCAGGTAATTCATCTGTAATGGGCCGTCCTATCTCATAAAAAACAACATTGTGAATAAAATTGTTTCAACTTTTAAAGGAAATAAATGAAAGTATTTTACACCGATAATAATTTTAAAAACAAACAAACATACGTCAATGTTTACGTCAAAATATTCCCAATTTCCCGGTAGTTAAATCAATGGTATTGCCATACGAATAATTTGTGAGTGTTTCCGAAAATTCACTTATAACCGATTCGGTTTCGCTCGTAAATACAATTTGCGAGGTTATCAATATTATTTATTATTGTTGTTTGTCTGTATGTATGTAAAAACTGTCTGTTTGTATGATATGTGGGGATGAGGCCGTGCATAATGTCTTGCTCAAGTTGGTACCGAAAAATTGCTTGGTTATGGTAGGTAGGTATTGAATCAGTGTTGTAAAAAATATTGTGAAATGTCATTTTTTTATGTAAATAGGTCGGCAAACGAGCCGGTGGATTACCTGATGGTAAGCAACCACGCCGCCCATGAACACCCGAAGCGGATGAGTTACGAGTGCGTTGCTTTTAGGGATTAGGGTTTTGGAGATTCAGGGATTGGGGAGGGGAAGGATTGGGCCTCCGGTAACCTCACACACACGGCGAAACACAACGCTGTGGTTGTTTCACGCCGGTTTTCTGTGAGGCCGTAGTATCAGTCCGGTCGAGCCGTACCAATATGATATATTCTGTGTTATAATTATGTACCTTCTAAGTAATTTAGACACCAACTGACATGCGGTGAAGATAAACATCGTGACTAAACCTTTACTTATAATTTCTGTTTATAAGTTTAATATCGCC